CATGAACACAAAAACAAAGGATTAACAAATCAACAAATGGCTGCTCTCTACCATCAACAGCATGAACAAACTACAAAGAATTCTCAGCTAGATTCAGCTCCATCCGCTACAAACGAATGGAATCGATTTGAACATGAACACAAAAACAAAGGATTAACAAATCAGCAAATGGCCACTCTTTATCAACAACAAGGAAGAAACATGAATAATATCCATAAAGATTCAGTTGAGTGTGTTTCTAATGATCGAAACAAATTGGAATACGAACAAAGTAATCTAAAATCCTACCAACAAAAACAGCGAGTTCAAAAGCCAAAATCAGCAGTTAAGTGGAATCTTTTCCAACGTCTCTATCGAGATAAACATTTGACTAAACAAGAGATAGCGGATAAATATAACCAATTCAAAGAAAATGAACAAACTTTTAAATGGAAAGATGATTATCAACTTGTTTTAGCAAATGATGGAAAGTTGACGAATCCTGATTCACCTGTTGACAGCGAAGCTATGAAAACAGGTTTGTTCGACGAACAATATCGTCTGAGACGAAAGGGTGAAATTCCATATAGTGTTTTTTACGCTAAGATGGTCTCTATGGGTATTACTGATCGATCAAAAATATCATCCATGCATTTAAATACAACGGGTTCCCCATCGTTACGTACGGCAAATCTTAGAAAATATACTTATAAACAGCATGCTGCAGTTAATACGACACGGCGCGATCCTGATCATATATTAGAATTACAAGTTATTGTACCGGAATTGCGAAAAGAACATTTAGATGACGAAACGTTTCATATGCTTCGATGTCTTCTTAACAGTGAAAGTAATATCGAATCTCGTGGAGTAAAGGTCAATCGTTATATAAAAGGTGTTGCTAACAGAGGTATTGCTAGAAATCGAGTTAAACTGGTCAGTTCTACTTTCAAACAAGAAGAAATGCAAGCACAACAGGCGGATTATCTTGCTGATATATGTCGCAAAGAGGGCTTTTTAGGTGCCGAAACAGTTTTCAGACGTGTTGCGGATAAATGCAATAATTTACGTTCAATTCATAATCAATTAATGCAACTGAAAGCAAATACAACAGATCCTAACGAAGAGAATGAGCGAAAACGTCATCTTAGTGAAAGTATTCATCTTTACGAAAGTAAATATGGCGCTCTAACTTTCTTTGGATCAAACTTAACGGAATATCGCAAGAAGATTTTAGATGAAGCACACTCCGTCCAACAATGAAACTTTTTTTAAATAAACACATTACTGAAAACAGGATCTTTTAGTTAATATAAATAAATAAATAAATATAAAAAACGAAATAACTGTGTGTTCATCAAGTGGGCGTGAGTACGAGTGCTTTTTCTATATCTTAAACCTTCACCAGCACCTACGCCCACACTCTAAGATGGTCTGCCGTTAGTTAAATAAGGTATACATATTTATTGGAAAAATTCTAGCTAAAAGCAGCTCTTAGTCAAACATTAACAAATTATTGTTGTTGCCATTTAGAATATCTACCACCTCTTCCTCGTCCACGACCTCTTGCGCGAGTATTTTGTGTGTATTCGGGTTGATATTGTTGTGAGGGCCATAACTCACCGTATCCTTCTTGCTGGTTACCATCATGAAAGCGATAACCCTCAGGCTGATTGTTGTAGTATGTCGGATGCGAATGCTGTTGGCCACGACCAGAATAGTAATTATCGTGAGAACGGCGTGAGTTTCTCGTATTGTCGTCTTCACTGTAATCATGAATGATAGGAATGGATGATGGTGAATAAAATTTGCATTGTTAACTATCATTTTTCAGCTCTATTGAATAAAAGTTACTACTCCTATAAATAAATGTATGTGATTAGTTTGATAATATAGAATTTAAATAAAAAAAAAAGATTTTACCAATCAAAAACTTTAGCTAAAGCGATCATTTCTGGATCCAGGCAATGCTCAACAATAACAAAGAAATATGCTTCTCGTTCGTGTTTTCTTGAATCAAAAGTAATACTTTTGCATTTTTCTAATTCATTTTGCGATATATGAAAAACTGTTTTGTCTTCATGGAAAGATCCACTTGTACCTTTGACTTCAAAATAACATATTTTAGTTCTTGATTTTAGCCCTCGTACAAAATACTCCTTTGTATCATGTAACTCTAAGTCATAACCAAGTGAATCATTCATATTACGTTTATATTGTGGATAGACCTTTGCACGTGATGAAGAACGCCAATTTTTAGTTGGTGTAACATCAATTTCACCATAGAGATTTTGTAAATAAGTAAAGAAAAAATGTTCAGCATTTTGGCCAATACGAATATGTTCGATACCGTCTACAATAATCGGATTCATCCAATTGTTTGGTGTTTTTGGATCTAGATCACGATGATTCTGTTTCATTACACGCTGTCGAAAACTTTCATCTTCAAGAGATCGTTCTGGTGCGATGAAAATTTCTTCTGGATCTTGTTCAATGGTGGGATTTTGGCCGATTGAAATAACCATTGATTCAATCAATTCATGATCTTTAGGAAAAATCACATCCAAGTAGGGATAGAAACCAGGTTTGGTACTAGCAAAACGTGAAGGTAATTTTGAAATAAATTCATTCCATTGAGTAATCTTTTGTCGAGCAATTAATTTAGCTTCATCAAATGGTATATACTGACATTTGTGTAATAAAGTTGCTAAGGCTGATATGGCAACGATAGCTTTTGACGACACATCTTTTACATAGTCAATACACAAAAAAACAGTTTTATTGAAAATCCAAAAAGCATAATCACTTTCCATCTGAAAGTCATCATAGTCATCATCATTGACTGTTTCTATGATAGCAGCATCCGAAATAAGCAAAAATATTTCCGCATATCTTGCACTGATAACTTCAATATCATCATCGTTAGTCGCTTCTCGAAATATTGCTGTTAATTGAGTAAGATGATTTTCAAGATTGAGATTTGAATGAATCCATTTAATTTTTCCTCGTCGTTCAACATAATCAATTTCAGAGAGAGCCAAAATTAATGGGCATGTTCGAGTAATAACTGGTGAAATAAAATGACGTTTACCAATTGTTCTTGATAAGTTTTGAATGATTTTTGTTTCAAAACAAGCATATACAATATTCGTAGATGTTTTTTCAATCAATTGACGATCATTGGTAAGGAGAGGAAGAGATACATTTTGAATCGAGGTACTAATAAGTTTTTTTAGTTCTGGTGAGATCTTCTTTGAAATGAGAGCAAAACGCCATTGTAAATCTTCTCGACTACCATAAGGTGCTTTTGGATGTTTTTGTGTGATAATCGTACGATAAAGATCAGTATCAGATTCACTATCTTGAACACATTTGGCTATTGAATCTTCAAGATATTGATAAAGTGTAATCATTGTTTCCATTCCATCCTCATTTAATGTTGTCAAACCATCACCTAATTGATAAAAGTTCTTTTTATCATTTCTTGCCAAACGAATAGTTCGATAAATATTTTCAACAGTCACTTTACATTGACAATCTAATGTACGGAATAGATCTTTAAATTGCCAATATGTTTGATTACTTGTGGAAGAGATTAATTGTAATTTAAGATATTTACAAACTAATAAGATACTTGCATAATGTTGATCATTGATTTCGGACATAACAAGAAGATCTTTTAATAAACAGAATTTTTGTTGATCTGGAAAATATAAGTGGCATGTAGAACGAAAACTATCCATATCGATAGTTTCATCCTTCTTTCGAATTTCCAACTGCAATCGACCCAACCATTCAACATAAAGATCGACGTTAGTAATTTTTTCATTACTTAAATATTGAAGAATTGTCATAGAAGTCATTAAATCATATTCAGTACGAACACCCATATTCATTGCTAATGAACGACAATAAGAAGGGACATTTATTAGTGGTAATTTCGGTAAATCTGTAAGAATAAATTCATCAAATGTCGTTGAAATTGGTCGAGTTTCTTCCTTAGAATTCATTTGAGCAACAATCGGAAATTGCTGAAGTGCTTGCTTAGTATTTTCTGATTGAATTGATAAAATAAATTCACCTAAATGAGCATGCTTCTCATCTATAAACATAGTAAATAATGGTAAATATGGTAAACGAGCAATAGTGTAATCTTGAGGAAGATTAATCAAAGGTGGTTTACAATGCATTTTTAATAGAAAAGATTCCCATTGAAGATGATTGATTAAACGATTTGAATCCACATTATAGTAAGGAATATGAACAAAAGTTACGGGTGTAGAATGAACATAAGGTCTAATATCTAAGCCGAATATGGTTGGTAAAGTTGTATTTTGAATAACAGTCAAGCAAGATGATCCTTGAATAGGTATGAGAAGAGGCTTGGAATTATCTAATTTTTCAATACGTGATTGAAGATAAAATAAATCTTTCCATATCTCTTCCAACAGATTATCGCCCACAGTTAACATCATTGATGAAATGACTAATTCTAAATGACTCTTTTGAATAATATCAATTAAATCTTTCTCTGTTAAAATTTTAACGTGATTTGATTGAAGAAGAGCAGTTCTTTCTGTTGATGATGAATATTGTAGAACAATTAATCGTTGTTTCCATATTCGGATTGATGGATCGTCATTAATGTAGAGCAATAACGATGTCTTATTCGTTATCGGTAAATATTGTCGCTCATCATTATTTTGAAGAAGGAATATTGGCTTTTCTAACATGAGTTCAGCTATATCCGGAGTCATTGCTTCTGACAGATAATGAAAAAATTGAGACCACCATTGTTTATCTTTTTTCTGTACCCATTGTTGAAATTCATTAATTTGTTCATCTCGACTCGGAAAACATTTCAATATATCTGTAATAGAAAGTGTTTGAATTTGAAAGGATCTCAAACGATCAGCAGTAAAGAATTTGTCATTGGAATCTATCACTTGAATATTGGCATAATTATCCAATTGTTCTTTAGAGATCAAATCTGCTAAATTAGGATTCCAATAACGAGTTGATTTACCTAAATATTAATTGTTAGCAAGTTTCGAACTTAAAAGAAAGATTACCTCTACGAATATCAAATAAAGCAGAGAAATGTTTTGTAATTAATCTAGTAATACGATCGATCATTGAATGCCACCAAGATGAATATTTAATTTGATGAATATCTGACGACGGACAATAACGACTTATATCTTTTTTCAAATCCATATCATTCAAAAGAAGATAAACAAAAAAAACAGCTAAATGATCACGAAGATAAGTGTTGAATGGAACATTTTCACGAACATTTTCTCGGCTTGTAACTAAATGAAATTCAGCATTGAACATAAAATTAAATCCAAGATTACAAACAGGTAAACCAGTGTATACAGTTGCATTCAAATCATAATCATAAGGAAATGCTAATGTTAACGATGTCGTAGGATTTCGTCGTTGTTCGATTGTACTTGGAACATCGATTTGACAATTATAAACTCGAAAAATCCGATCTCCTTTGGGAGTACATAATTTAATCATTGATCCATTTAGATTAAGAAATGTCAAATCCTCGAACGTTACTGCTGTTTGTGTTTCGAATTTTGTTGAACCTATTCGTTGTTTTTTAATAATTATTGATTTATTTTCTCGTAGATCAACAATTTCAAGATTTTCTAACTGACGCATGTTCAATAAAATACATGGATCAACCGCTTTCGAAACATCATCAAGAAATTGTTCAGCTAAAGGAGTATGTGCTGCTAATTTCAATGGTAAATAAAGATGTGTTTGTCGTCGATTTGTGGAAATTTGTTTCAAAATACATTCAGGAATATCTTCATCTCGTATCCATAACGGTGTGATGTAAGACATAGCATCAGAACCAGGAACTTGAAAACGAAATTGCCATGCATGAGAAACGAGTGTGGGTTGATTTGAAGCAACAAAAACTGATTTAAATCCAACACCTTTTTCACCGATATGTTTTTGTTCGCTTGTTTTTGTGGTAACTGCTAAACTACAGATGGCTAGTACATCACGAGATCGAAGACCTTGTTCATTATTGGAAAATAGAATATAATCATGATTCAATTCAATACGTAAGTTTGGACTAGTTTTGTCAAAATAGATATTATCTTCGGCGTTCTATAAGTAAAAAAATTATATTAAAATTTTGTAATGACGTTGAATTTACTTGAATTAATTCGTCAAGAAAATGGACTGATGAACTGTAAAGATCTGAACCGAGATGTTTCAATGAGCCACAGATTGATTTTCGCATATCTTCATCTTTAAATGTTGTTCTTCGCCCATAAATTTCTCGAATAAACTGTTCAGCTTGTTGACTTGTAATCTGATCAGGTGACAGATTATTTAATTGATGGATGATATCTGCCTTGTCAGTAATATTATTTTCAACAGAAATAGTTGTTGAAACTTGAGTGGAGTTGTTAATAACATTTGTGGAAGTGGATAATTTCAAACGGTCGATCTCTTGAGCTATCTGAATATATTCTTTTCGATATTGATCTCGTTCTAATTGTGTTCGCTGTAATTCTTTGTCGAGATGTATTAGTTTTTCATTCAGACTTTGATTTTCTTGTTTCATTTGTTCATAATCATGTTTTAACTGTAAAGTATCAATTTTCTTCCATTCGGTTTCGAATAAAGCCTGAAATTGCTTTCGTTGTGCTGCAGCTTCGTCGCGTTGAATTAACATTTGAAACTGTTGATGTAACGTATAGTATGATGATAATAAATCCTTTGTAAGATATAAAGAGTTTGTTGGTTGACTGACAAGTTCAGTCGTTGATACAGTGAGTTCTTTGATATCTGTTTCATCGTCGTCATCATCATCATCACCACTAGAGTTTGAAATACTGGTATCATTATAAGTCTCTGTTCGTTGTATCAATAGCATATAGAAACGAAGAGCTAAATTAATTTGATCCATGTTACATACGTAATTTCGATGTAAAGATGCGATCGTTGTTGGAATTATTGTTAACAAACGAGTTTCATTCATTAAAGCCAGACTAATCAAAGTTGGGCCGTTTAATAATATGGGTGTAAGCAAAGCACATAAATGAGTAATAAATAACAAATTTTTCTTATACTTATTGCAACTTCGACTTAATTTGGTAAAATTAGGATCAGCTAAGATTGTGATGACGTCAACAATTTGGTGAACATCATCTTCTGTCACTTGTAAACAATGATCAAAACATGCATAAAACAGAGATGCTAGAACTTTCAAATTAACTCGATCCACTAAATTTTCGGTATGTTGTGAACAGTATTCTGTTGCTAAAGATGTTGATGATTCATCATCGTCAGATCTAATTTAATTATAGATTGATGTTATACATTGATATTTAGGGCAAAATACAATACTTACTCTGTATCTAATTCTTCTCTTTCATTCCACAAATCTTGCAATTTTTGATAAGGTGAAAGAAGCCATTTAATTGCATCCAAAAATTTTCGTGCCGCTAATGAATCAACGGATAAGAAAACACGAGCATATTTATGTTCGTTTTGATCAGCACTTAGTATCCTCTCACACAGCTGTAGGCCGGCTATAACAAGAGCATAATGTTGTTGACCCACAAGTGAAAGACTTAGTGTAAACGTCTTTAGTGTATTATTAAATAATTCATGTCGAAAGTGGAAATGTGTGGATATTTTACAGATGGTCATGATAACTGCATAAAGAAGCGGAATTGTTGAGGCATCATAGTTATCAAGCAATGTAAGACCATAATTGACCAATTGAGCTGCGATTGTATTTGAGTCTTGAGGATCTGATATATTAAATCCACATAGAAATTGTCGTTTATATGCTCGTTTTTGTTCTTTGTTCAAACAGGTAAATTCATTAAGCACAAGCTGAATTACTTCATGAGCTGCTTCAGCAGCTGTATTAGAATTTTTTAAACGATTGCAAATAGATTCTAATGGATATTGTGCATTATTTTGATAAGAGGATTGTAAATTTCTTCGTACAGTTCGTATATCACGTACTGTTCGACGATAATGTTTCAGTAATTTTTCCATTGACGATCGAAGATTACTATTGGTAGATGAATATTTTGATATGTTTTGTTGAAATAAATCTTTCAAAATTTCTTTTAACTCAATATTAGTAAAATTTCCCTTGTCTTTAACAAGTAATGTATGTTCTTGAAGATATTGAGATGAATTCAATAGAGAAAAAAATCCTTTAATACGTCTTTCATATTCAGGATAAGTATTCTTTTCGTAGTCCTCATGAGCTACATTGCGGCATAGCCAACATTTAAAAAGTTCTTCTTCATCAACTAATAGACCGAGAATAGTAAAAGTGTTAGTATCTAATGATAAATTTTGATTATTCAATGTAATAAATATATCAAGAAGTGGTCGTTCCAAGCATATCGAGCCATAAAGTAGAATCCAACTGGGAGCTTCTATTCTGATTTGATCTTCATTTAAATTTTCATCTTTGTTTCGTTCGAGAAGATCAATAAATCTTTCTCGAAGTTGTGCCCATTCGTCAGCATTCGAAACATTATTAATAGTAAATTGAAAAGGTGAATATCCGTGGCAACATATGTCTTTGAAATTCGTTGTAGTTAGGTTAGTCGATGAGGCTCGACTTTCAAGACCATATACCCGATTATGAATGGTCATTAATGTGTCATAATTCGTCGAACTGGTAACCGAAATAGACGTATTTGTTTCAGAATCATTTTGAAGTAGATATTTAATTCTTTGGTAAGTAACACTATCAGGTCCGCCAGCAAGAATGATAAAATTCACTCGTGCTTGAGGTTTACCAAAAAGCTGACACCAGGGACACAAAAAAGTATCCATGTTTCTTTTCTTTATCTGAAAATTTTAAAATTGCTTCTACAGTTATTTTTCTTTAATATTTTACAAAAGAAAAGCAACTTCGTAGTCGTAAGTCAATACTCTCTCCTCCTGCGAATGTGAGTGTCGACTGTGTTGCATGTAAAAGCATAGTATGGGCTTCTGTTCTTTTTCTTTCTGTAACTCAGTTAATTCTATGCAAAATTTATTTTTCAGTTGTTTTCATTTCGCTTCTTTTGTCAATAATTTTGGGTTTTTTCTCTTTCCTTTTTTAACGCAGAATAAAATGGAAAAAATTTCCTTAATTGTTAAAATAGTGAAGATCCAGTGACATTAAGTAGTTCGTAATGAAATCCATCGTGAAGGTGGTGTGTGTGGGTGTGAAATAAGAGAATACTCAAACACATACCCTTAATATTTACATTTTTGATTTTAGATTACATCTATGTAATACAATATAGTAGAAAGAGAAGAAGAAATAGGTCTTGCAACTTTATCGAAGAAAAAGACGCAAAGCAGCAAGCAATACTCATTTATTTACAAGATGCACCAAGAACTTTGCGTGGTATTCGAGGGTATGGATGGGTGTGGGTGTGGATGTGGGTGTGGGTGTGAGGGTGTGGGTGTGGGTGTGGGTGTGGGTGTGGGTGTGGGTGTGACCAGGCATGGCTAAGCTGTGAGTGTAGGTGAGAATGCTATCTTCAACGCATTTACATCTATACAATCACTTGCACCCACCCACATCCACGCTCAATCACAACTCTAAACAAGTGTTGCATTGGTTAAAGTGGTAAAAAAGTCGATAATCAAGAGTCTGTTTCATGGGGAAATATGTATATCACAATTAAAAATACTAATTACAACTACATGTATTAGCTTGTGAAGCAAAAATACCCAGTGGAAACTCGGCATTACTCACCTTTCTGCATCCATGAGTGATGTATACTGCGTATTAAAGAAAGTGAAACATTACAAAATGCAGTCGAATTTATTATAACACCATCTGTCACGATGTTGTTAAAAAAGTTATAACTGGTTAAGATGCAAACTAATCAGCACACGCCACGTAAAGAAATATTTGCATGGAGAACAAACGTATTAGTATGATGAGTAACAAAAAATGTAAGCAAATGCGGGGTGTGGGTATAAAATGAATAGCAGACTATTCCACCCTCACTCTGGTTTTCTACAAAACTTTATTGATAAGAAGCTTAAAAAGTATATATAATTGTTTACATATTTTGAAAAATAGTGTCATTTGTGAACACTATGATAAATTCATAATTATTCTTCCCTTGTCACTTGTGTGGGAATTGTTGATGAAGATGAATGAGTTTGTGATACACTTAAATTTTCCATTTTCCACTGTTCAATATGTACTAATATATGTTTTCTTTCGTATACCACACAACAAATTTGCAAAGTAGCACATATTATAATAATTATAATGAATGTAATCTTTCCGTAGAGAAAAATGTCATTTACTGTGAAGTTTGATGCAATAAGAATATATCGAACAATACATTCAATGGAAAATCCTACCGCCCAAACACCTGTCATAAGATAACACGAGATACGAAACGATGAACAATGGTCATAGATCCATGCATAGACTTGAGCTACTTCTTTTGGGTCCGGTACATCTTGTTTCCTATTCTCATCTTTGATTTCTGTGTATTGATTATCGTCAAACATGCTATCTGATAGACCGAATTCTGCTCGACTTACTGGTACTAAATCATGATAAAAATAATAGACAATTGGACGCCATCGATATTGCCCGAGACCACATCGAAATGGAATTAATGTAATACCAAATATTATTGCTAGTGTACCGGTAATCAGTGATTTTTCTAACAATAGAATTTTAGGATTATCTAACGCCAATGCTAAGATGGCCGCAAAAATAAAAGTAATACAGACAATAAAACCGATAGAATCAAAGTAACGTTTCCATACAGCTTTGAAGACGACCATCAAGAAAGGAGGAATACCAGCGGCCAAGAGAGCGTAGACAGGTTTGATATTACTTGCAAGAGAAAAATATATTATAATCGGTAGAATCAGATCAACTACAATAATAATAATAAGACGAGGAATATGATGTTTAAATGTGTTCCATGTTACAAGGTGAAACTGTGAAGGCAATTGCCATTGTTGAAAAGGTTCAGATGGAGTAGATTCATAGTTTGAAGCCATTGGATATTTATTTGAATGCCTATATAAAATATGTTCACTATAAAATCAATTTCGAGTTGAATATATGAGTCTTTCTTATCGATAGGAGTGTTAGAGCTTCCATTCCTTAGATTCTTATAGTTCTGTTCCATATAAATCCAAAAGCACTTATAATTTGCCTATGGATTTATATACACCAGCCTTTTTCCTAGGATGCTCTGATAAATCCATTCTACTTCTAAATAAAGCTATTGAAAGTAGAAGGGACTTCTATATGGACCTGAGAATTCCATTAGGATAAGGATAAGTTTTAGCACTTATGATCTACATTTAAATACTATATAGGCAGAACTATAACTATTGTCGGTATTAATATTGTTTTAAGCTACTCCAATAAGCTGAATTGGTACTTATATCATCGAGAGGATTTCTACTTTTGTCTAACACAAAAATTCTGACAAAACATGTTTACAGATATTTATGCTTAATTTTAATAAATCAATTTATTATGCAATCGATACTCTTTTCTCTTCTACACTTTTCAGATAAACAAAATTTAATTTTAATATGTTTTACGGCTAAAAAAATGTTTTTCTTACAATTTTATTTGATTCGGTTTGTCTTGAAGATTGACGATCGACGCTTTTATTGTCCGCTTCACTGTTTTTTCTTTCTTCAGCTAAGGTAGTCACTGATGAAAATCATTGAGGCATGCAGTCATTATATATCGCGTTGTGTATTAATATTGGTTATACGAAATTTTTTCTTTCTGTCAACATAAAGCTAATAGCAGCTGTCACATGGAGAATGCATTTAAACTTTGCTCTGATAGATATTTTTCTCACAATCATATTCTTGCTCATAACAAGTTTCTGATAAAATAGAAAACAATTAAACAGTATGTAAGATTTAATATAAAAAAAATCGAACAGATATATGTAAATGCATCAACAAGCAAAAATACAAAAAAAAGAAATATTTGTGTTCAGTTTATTAAGTGTAATACACAAAACACGAATATCTGTAAAGAGTTACATGAAGATTATTGACATTATATTTTTAGTTTTATAGTTTTTGAAATATAATCAGATCTATCCTACCCACAACCACAGCTACAGCCGTACCTTCAAGATATAAAAGACATGATGTTCTCCAACAGGTGATAAATTGGTCAAACCCGACTTTCCATTTTGGGTATTGTGGGCCGTGTTAGAACATGTTGCACTCCTATTCTCCTTCGATTTCTCCAGCAAAATTTTTGTTGAAGATCAGGAATGAGTCCCAAACAGACATAAGGTAAAACAGTAGGCATTACTACAGAGATAAAATTTAGTAAGATAGCCTGAATGTTATCATTGATTGGAGTGATATTGAATAGAAGAGTAGAAATGGGATTAATAGTATAAGGAAAGTTCGTACCAAAATATAAAGTTGAAATACTGACTAATTGAATAGTCATCTTTCGATACTTCCTCCAATTCGGCGCCTGATGTAGGCGTCGTTTTTGAATGATAACTCGAAGAGCCAGAGCAAGACTGAATAGAGCAATGAGAATAATCGGAATAGCTTCGTGAACAAGAGATTCATATGCGACGATAACTGTTGAAAAATAAAAACATGCATAACCACAATAAGCAGATGTATAATCAAAGGAATTTTGACAAGGAAAGAATAACATGGCATAGACAAAGAAAGCAAATGTATAAGTTATGATGAGAAAAAGTGGTAAATAATGAATCAACAAACGTTGTCGGTTAGTCAAAAGCCAATTACGATGAAAAATAAGAATATGACCTACAAGAGAGATAGATATATGTATAGTTCATCGACATTCAAACACATCACTCACGTTCTATCGATGCCCAACACATCAATAAAATCCCTGTATCATAAGTGTAAGCGTCAACAAAAAGCCACAAAAGACACAATGATGGTGTCGATGGACTAACGCGACCTGTTCGAAGATAATTGAGTAGGAGTGATTGATCGATTGTCACTTGAATAAAGTTGACGAAAAGAATAACAAAAATGGCATGGTTGGAAAGTTCTTTTTGTAATGTTTTGTTGTACAAAAAATGTAGAATAATAAATAAATAGACTGGGATGGACATGAGCTGACCTGTTTGAAATATTCCGTAGAGAAGAATATTTGAATTCGAAGAAGTTTCTTCAGATGAAGACACAGTATTATTTGAAGACATCTATTCAAATTGTTAATAATATCTCTATAGAAACTGATAAATCTCGATGAAAGAAAATATATAAAACTCAATGATGAAAGTTCATATATATTTGGAGTGTTGTTTTAAAGCTTTTTTCTGTTCTGATTAACATTTTAAATTATTTATAGCATGAAAGGAATTGTTTCATGTAAAAATAGTCCTGATGAGCTATGCTTAATTAGATTCTTCAATAAAAAGTGAAGAGCATAGTTAAAATAAAATAATTAGAAGAGAAGAGAGAAATGTCTTGAAATAGCACTAGATATAAAATATCGAAAAATTAATCTTCATTTTAGTATATTTCTTCTGTCTTAACTGAAGTCTGCATTGACTTGGGTTCGAAATGTATTCGAGTTTTGTTGTTAAAATGAATCAAAATTCTCTAAATACATTTAAATAAAAAAATGTCATGTAAATGCGTTTGTATCTATTTTAAGCTCGAAAAAAAAGAATTGTTTCCATTTTAACAAGTTCAGCAATGTTTTTCTTTTGTTTCTGGTTTGTGCTGTTTGCTGAAAGCAAGACAAGCTCAAAAAACAGTTTAATAAACGTTATAATCCACGTAAAGACACTTTTTGCGCAGAATAATTGAACTGAATCATCAAAATGAAAAACATACATCTAAAAAATGAGGTGTTAGATAATAGCGAAATGTCTAATAAATAAATATGGATTACTGCATTAACAATGTTTTGATATCTATTGCTATTTTGTTAAGATATAGATTAGAAAACTGAAGAATATATCATTACTTATAAACTAATTGAGAGAGATGTACTTTGAAGAATTCAAAGTGATTGTGAATAGTGTAAGTTTACAGTATTTCCATTTTTAACAACGCTTTAAAAAGTATGCCATTAATTTTTTCGAAAAAAGAATATTTGTATTTCTAATAAATTAACTCTACGACGATCCTTTTGTGATCGAATAAATAGTTGTTTTATAGCAATTGTTCATGATTAAACTTTTCCAGACAAAAGACGTCAATATGTATTCAACTTCGTCCCAAGTATTATTGTTTAGACTAACTATATTTAAGAAATAAAGAGCAAAGAAACAGAATAAAATAAAGATACAGAACGAATGAAGGATAAATGTGGTAAAGCAGGGGGGGGGATTATTGTTCGACAGGATGTCCATCTATTTTCTTGACACAATCACCAATATTTCTTTATATAGTCTTTGATTCCAGGGTATTTCAATTTACACTTTTCTGGTATTAACCAAGTATCTGTGTGTATCTCGTTTCTGCACCGAGGTGGCTCTAACGTATATAGATCATTTTTATTTACTTTTGTGACAGAATAAAAGCGTTTACATTGAAGACATTGTGCTTCCCATCCATACTGGATTGGTCCCGTCGTCAACTTAACCATTTCCGGTGGAATATAACCGGGTTTTTTCGCCAGCTCCACTAGAGCAACGAAAGCATTGATTTCAGCTATATGTGCAGGCTTGTTACGTGAATATTTTGTAGCATCTAAAAGAAGAGTCTATACTAATTATTTATTATTAATCATAATAAAACCTTACACCTTTGCTCACGACCAGTTCGATATTCTCCATCTTCTCGTAACTTCAGTACTTCTTGACCTTCAAGCATCTTCCGCCCTAAATTATATACATTATTGTAATGATATAGAAATATCAATGTAAACAGTGTGCTTTACTCATGATTTCTTGTCCTGAAATCGGAAGACCACTGGGACCCATGGACTTTGCTGACATAGTCTCCTTACGTTTTTCTTCTAAATAATATACAAGATTACAATTCTATATCAATTCATGATTACAAAATAAGTCTTACGGGCGAGCTTTCTTTTCGTGGTTGGTCCATTTTCACCTTCAAACGATTTGTCCAAATCATTGTTTAAACGTTTTGCTAAATGATCAAATAGAAACAATATTATATTTTAAATTTTGCATTTCTCTCATAGAATTGACACTCACCAGACTTCTGCATTTCCTCAAGAGTACGCTCGTTGAATCGACCGATGAAATTGTAACCACAATTACCGGCTCGTCCGAGCAAAAACGAGCACAGCGTTTCCATCTTGATCAGTTTATATACCACGATACGTTTATCCACATCCTAAACAAGAAAAGTTAAAATACAATGCTAAACAATTATTCGACTTACCTCCAAGCCTTCACCAGATAGAATCGGCCATACGTTTACCCAATCCATAAATGGATTAGGTTCTGATTCCTTCGCTTTTTGTCTTAGGTAGCAAAATATTGGTCCTAGTTGACCTATAATGAACGAAAATTACATTATTATAATATAAAAAATATATTAGTAATCATACCGTTTCTTTCTGTATTCTTGTAATGATTTTCACGCTGTGTAAAGTCAGTGCTTTCACCAATTTTGCCACAAAGATGAACAAGTCGTTCCTTGTCATCAAAAGAAGGATTTAGTAAAACTTTCTTTTTGCAAAGTTTTGGGTGTTCTCTCATGCAGTCGTAAAGCCAATCAGGTATGCATATAGTGACTGCATAAACTGCCAGATTATTCTGTACTTGACACTTCAGAGATCCATCTTCAAAATCTCGTGTAGTCAAAAATGGCGGTTGTGATGAATGACGTTTATAAAGTGCTCTCTAAAAAAACAAATGGTTAATTCCATATATTTCTCGAATGAGTAAATAGTCATGTATTCTTAATAACTATTAGCAGCTTCTCTTTTCTGATTTTTTTCTTCTCACTCGTTATACATGTGAATTAGTACTGATCAGAACGAACGACATGAAAATAACACTCGTTCTATACAATAAGGCTCTGAGTAACTTACTAATAGCTTTCCTGATCCTGATCGAGCACTCAATTCGTCCAATCGCGTTAATAAATCATTAATATCAAGTTGTTTTTCTAAATTGAGAAAGAAAAATGACATAAAAATATGTGGTGCTATATAAATATTACCCGAGTTATACAAATAACGTATAGCTTCCCCCCGTTGATCTTCCATATAGTAGTTGATACGATTTTCAATCTGCTTTTTTACTTTAGCAGGTTCAATTAAACCGGCCGTTCTAATAAAAAAAGAGTCGTATTTATTTTCATAATATTGAACAATTCAATCTTACGAGTCAGTCGTCGTGGCACATGCTGATTTTGGTTTAACAGCAATCGGCAGTGGTCGATATTTCGATGGACCATCATGAATTGATGATGATGCTTCATTATTTTTAGTTTTGCCTTTGACAAAGTTAGTAGAATCAACTTTAGGTCTGTATGAGAAAATATTTATAGTAAATAAATTATTCCAATACACTGATTTTTCCTTCCTTTAATTCATTTCGTATATAAAATAAACGTCACTTACGTTTGAACATGTGTTTCTTTTCTGGTTCGTAAATTGTAACTTTTTTCTGTTTCTTCGTCGTATTCTTCATCGTCTTCTCCTTCTTCGTCGTCGTATTCTTCATCGTCTTCTCCTTCTTCGTCGTCGTATTCTTCATAGTCTTCTGCTTCTTCGTCGTCGTCTTCCTCCTCTTCAGACTCTTGTTCTTGACCAGACACGTTTTTTGGAATGGCGTCGGGTGGCTTAGGTTGCTCCTTTTCGTTTTCTTTCTTTTTTTCTTCCACCTCTTTAATCTTCACTTGTCCTAAAATAACAAAATTATGTTAACATTGAGCTGCTAGATTTTACTTATAAAAATTCACCTGTTTTAGTTTGTTGTTCTTGATCAGACTTGTTTTCTGGATTGGTACCGGGTGACTTAGGACGTTCCTTTTCTTTTTCTTTTTCTTTCTTTTTTTCTTTCACCACCTGTTTCATCCTTCCTCCAATAGCTTGTTTATTTTCTTCTTTTTTCTTTCCTTCTTCTTCAACTTCATTCTTCACTTGTCCTAAAATAACAAAATTATGGTAACATTGAATTCTTAGATTATGTTTATAAAAACTCACCTGTTTCAATTACTTGTTTCTCATCAGGCTTGTTTTCTGGATTGGTACCGGGTTTCTTGGCACCTGGACGAGGTCGTAATACCATGTTTGACATTGTAGCTCTAAATGATTGATAGTGTCAAGTGGGGACAGGTCATTTAATTTAATTTGACTTAATTAAATTTTCTAACTTAACACTTAATATCAGGTATTAAGTTTTTTACCAAAAACTTAAGACTGAATTTTAAATTAACTTAAATGTTCACCCCTAGTGTCAGATGGTTAACTCTAGATCACCAGTCGAAGGATAGAAGATGACTGTGGGTAGAAACTCATCGTTCACCACCCATATCCTCATATATGTTGTCGAAAATTGTATAGCAAATTTCTTCATGTCGAAATTATATAGGAAGTTTTTTCATTTGTGTGTATAATACCTTACAGATATTAGGATTTATCAACAACAAACCTTTCTCTTTTTCAGCAAAGCACTACTGCACTAGAGAAATCATGATACTTACAAAATGAACGAATTAATCAATGGGCGAAAAAGATCACCAGCGAATAATATAAAACTATGAAAATGATTACGTAGATGAGTTTAAACTGAATTTTATCTAAAATAAAAAAGAAGATACTACAATAAATGAAGTCATATTGTTTTATACTGAGAAAGACATTTAAAGATCTGAGTATGAATAGTTGTAATAGTAACTTATGTATGGGATGAGCTGGGTGTGCGACGTTCACCCGAAAGATAAAGCTAGTGTATTGTTATGGGATGATCCAGGGTATGAGCGAGAAAGAAACAGGAGAGACTTCAGACTTTAAGTCTCAAACATTCTCATAAAGTCCTATAGAATGTGACGATTTCAGACTCAGTATAGAGTAATATAAGAATTAATGCATACATATATAATGTATACTTTTATTCTATAAGAGAAATCGTACCCAAACTGTATTTTCTCCTTCCTTTATATAGTCTTACGAAAAAACAATCCACACACTAACATAAAAATATATAAGTACAAAGATAATTTTTTTAACATAGCAGCCACTAGGTCAGAGGTCGGGATAAAGCAGAGATATTTCTATATGTAATTATTAAGTAAGTGGAAGGATATCAAAATGTATTCTCTGAGTAGATTTTGTGAAAGGAAAGAAGTATGGCAAAACATATGGGTTTGCGCGTGTATAAGAAGATGATACAGTCGTGTTATTTCGAAGTGTAAGCATATAAGAAGAAAGAGGATGAAAAAACATATGATTAATGCGATGTATAAGAAAGAATCAGATGTTGTCGATATATAAAGAAAAAAAAGAAAGACAAAAATGAATCATCGCATATATTGTCACATAGAGTTTCTCAAAACGTTCTCAATTCTTAAAGTCCGATGTTTTCTCCGTTAGGTAAAAAAAAGTATCTGAGCATTTATCAATGTACTGATTAGCGAAACGAAATCGAGCAAACGCCGGTATTAACTCTTAACTTTTACATATACGAACAAATGCAATAGCACTTTTTAATTTGCTTATCCGAAGTTGTTCTTCCGTAAACTGGCCAAAGAGCTTAGTGGTCGATATTGCGTAGTGCTGTAAAAGATAATTACAAACATTCGCACCAGTAATCTGCAAAAATTTGTGCAAACGCTTGCATAAAAAACTACTTTCGAAAACATTATTTTATGATACGTTGTACGTGTCATTCAACTAACAAGACAATAATATAACATATAATAAAAACAAGACCATTAGAAAAAGAATCGAAACTCAAGAACACGATAAGAGAACAAAAACAAGAAAAAGAACACTATCTCGTCAATTACACAAAAAAAGAAACAGAACGAGTAGCATATATATCATGCCAAAGGGAGTACCGAAATGACACTCGACACCAAAAACAATCAAAGAAGTATAAAACATCGATACACCAGAAATAGAACTAAATAAAGCAACTCTTATTCAAAATAAAATATCTATAACAAGAAACACAAACACGCATAAGAATACAAATTTAATCAAAACAAGTATTTTCCTCTCTACCATTTAATATATATATAATTCCCTGTTATTTATTAGTATATACTTAGATATTTTTTAGTATTCCAAATCCGCTTGATTATTCTGAACAACATCAAGCTATTTGTAGTCATATATAATATTTAATATGTTCCGTTTCTTGAAAATGATCATATAATTGATCGAAACGTTGAGTTTAATGAATATTTCGATTAAATAAATATTTTTCTCCACTACATTTACACTTTATATAATGAATTTTGTCTATTTTATTAATTTATATAGTTATATTCTGTTTTTATTCAAAAACAATACTACTTTAAAAGTTTATATGGAAAAATTTTTTGATTCTTAATATAAAAAATACATATCAAGTGATCGGTTACTAGTTCAAACTAATGTGAAAATAAGTAAAAATAGAATTTGAAAAGAATATCTGCAAGTGTAATAATATTATAAATCAAGTATAGTTTACTTACCCAAATAATATAAATTGTGTGTCTGATATATTTTCTTTTGATTTTGCTTTATATTTATACTTCACAAAATTACTTGTTTTTTTCCAACATACATATATTTACGTGACTCATATTACGCATATCATATTTATTAGATAAGGGTTGCTTTTGCATCGATGTGTGCATCATTATATGTATCATGTGTTCTCCGTTCTCTTTCTTTATTTTTGTTTTTTTCATATTTGGTATTCTTATGATGAAAACATGCGAGTTGATATTTTCATCTACAAGTGTATTTTATATGAATCTTTAATTTTTTCTACCCGGAGTAAACGAAATCAGTATTTGTTATCTCAAGTATAAAAATTGCTGAGTGTAGAGTTTGGATATAGATGTAGATTCTTTTTAGATCGACACGATCACACACACATATCAAACTTTATGTTATTACTAGCAGCGAGCCAAAGAACTTATCATAAAACCTTCACAAGTATATTTTTGTTTCTGAGCAATATTTTTTCAAAAAGGATTTTTTAGAGAAAAATATTCATGTGTCTCATCATTTCCTTTTGGTTTTCATTAATTTGATAATAAATGAGTACATTTAGAAAAAAAACCTTACGAGATTATCGTTTTGGCTCATAGTCATATTGTGATCTATGTGCTTGTAAGCAAAATTAAAAAAAGAAGAAGATATAATTCACAGATCAAAATCAGTGGATCTCTCTATATGTAATTAAGGTCTATTTTTCCTTTTTCATTAAATTATTGGCGATCTCTTTGAATGAAAAGAAAGAGAAAATATCGTCACATGAATTGTTAAACATGCAGGTGTCTATTTATAAAACGAAGATGAAGCCTTTTCTTTCACGTTAAAGAAGATTCGTTAATTTCTTTTTCAAAAAAACAAAATTTTATTCCCTCAACTGTAGGGAGGGTAATATAAAAAATGGAATACGCTATTTGTGTTTGTGGCCAGTGGCGTAAATAGGGGGGGGGGCGTGAGGCGCAATACCCCCTAGTAGCGTATCCAAGGCCTGGCATGGCCTGGCACTGCCAGGCCACCGGTACTTTTTGCCAGGCCACCGAGAAAAATTTTACTGGGTATTTTATTTTTTTTATACTGTCGATGAAGTTACATAAGACTATATCTCTAATAATGAGTGATATCTGAAGAATACTATAAATAACTGAACAAGTCAATAGGCAGGGGCGTAAACGCTCAACATTTCAAGTTTTAAAAGGAGGAAGGCGCAGCACCCTTTTTGCTTAAATCTAACGCAAAAAATCGTGTAAAAACCCTTTTTTTAATTTTATAGATCAAAGAAAAACTAAAATTCTCCCAGAGCAAAGAGGCGTACTGCCCCATGCGTCGACCTCACTCAGTAGACCCTTTGTTTCGCGTTAAATTAATCTTTTTTTAAAACACAGAAAGATCACAGATTGATTTTGAATCATCAGAAAATTATTAAGTGATACGCAGGGCTGTCGCAATGTTAAAGATTGGGGAGGCCGAAAAATTTCGAAAATACTTCAGAAACTTCTGCAAACTACCAAAATTTTTAAAAAAACTAGACGTTTTTTGAAAATTTCTGAAGGTTTTTGTAAGTTTTTAGCGATTTTCGAAAACTTTTGCAAAATTTTTCTAAATTATCGGAATCCGTTTGAAGACTTCGGGAAATTTCCAAAGACTTTCTCAAAAACTCGTCTAGAATTTTTGAAAATTTCTTAATAGTTTTTAAAAAATGGTGAGCAAAAAAACAAAATTTCCAAAGATTGGAATGAATACCGCCCCTACCCCCCTCCGATCGCGACACCCCTAAGGATATGGTAGGTTTTAGAAATTTTGTAAGGCATTGCCAGGCCACCGATCAAATCCTGGCTACGCCACTAATACCCCCCCCCCCTGCTTTCGAAAACTAATAGGAAAAAAGGGGTTTACGCCCCCCCTACTTTTGAAAATTTCGTTTTTTTGGTCGCCAAAATAGAAAAAAAAGGTTGCACGCCCCCTGCTCTGTCACCTAACTTACGCCCCTATTTGTGGCAGGCCATAGGTCAAAAAAGCATATTTTTTCATTATTTTTTTTCTGTTTGAAGTGACTTAAATTTTTTATCCAACACTTCATATTTATAAAACAGTGGGAAACCAATAAAAACAATTATTCCTTTAATTTTATTCAATCATAAATCATTAGAGAGAATCTTATGCTGATTTCGACTATATAATTTTATTCAGAAATAAACAATTAATTCAAATTTTTTTAGTGTCTTTCTCATTTCTCAAATTATTTTTTCTTTAAGACGACAGAGAAGAGTTATCTCTTCTGGTTAAATACAAAAGAAAAAGTGTCATCTCTAATTCACACTCTTACTTACATCTCTGCAATATTTCGTCCTATCTTTCTGATTTTTGTGTTTAAATTGTCAAAACAAATTTTGAAAAAATATTGATCATAAAGAACAACTGTTATTGAATGATCATTGACAAAGGAACTTTTTTCTTCGTCCAACTGATTGATCTTTTAAGTTCTGCTTGTTCTACAAATATCATAACCAAAAGTCTCTAATTAAGATTTCTATTTATCTATTGTTAATTGCTTTTAAGGCTATTATACAAAGATAAACTACCACTAATATTATCGAAGTACAATTTTTATGTAGAGAGAGATCGAAGTCATATAATAAAGAACATTACCAGTATTGGAAGAAATAATATTCAATCGGTTGTCGTTGTTGACATCGCCAAGAGTTACTCACCATGAACTAGAACCAATATCACAAGAATAAGTCGTTCTATTAGCGAACATCTCACCACCGTGTCCAAGAAAAACATTTACAGTGCCAGAATCGTTATTAGCAGTGAGAATATTCATTCGATTGCTATCATTCAAATCTCCAACACAAATATACAGTGTAATAAACCCGTTATCAGTCAAAATGTTACTTTTTAGTTAAAATTTCCATTATTAAAACCCATTAATGTAAATACATTGTTATTTAAGCAAAAAAATACATCAATGATATAATCATTCTTCAAATCGGTGATAGTAATTGGTTTAGCACTGCTTTGAGATTGAATATTATAATTGGTTTGTCTTAGAGATGGTTGATAAGAAAAGCCAATTATAGGAATCCAATATGGAGTAGATCCACATATTTGGTCATATGTAGTTATTGTTATAAAATTTCCATTTCTATATTCTAGAAAAACGTATAGTCGATCGTTTTCGAAATCAGCGATAGCAACATTAAATGCACTGTTACTAGTAAAATCATCGATAACAATATATTGTGGATGAGAATTAAAATCAATTCAATAGGTAATTTATGTTGAAAAGTTCCTTTACTTTGATCAAAAAAATGATTATATTACCAATGTCAGAATTAAGAACAGCAATATTTAAATAATTATCATCAGTACAGTTCATAATAACTATTCGATAAAGATGGAGTCTATAACCTGTAGAATATGGTTGTTGATTTCCATAAATTCTATCATCTTTTGCAAAACAATTTCAGTGATATTTGTACCCAACTTGGCCACAATCGTATCCATTTTAATAGTATTATCTATATCATCTATAGCAGCGGATCGTGGTTGAGAAAAGTGTACTTTTCATTGTTCGTTTAAAAGTATATTGACATGTTTTACCTAAAAAAAATAATTTAAAAGAAATCATATACGAATCACATTTTCTTAGAGACAAAATCGTTCAAATAAAACAAATAATGTTACTAAAGTTGGAGAAAACTTGAAGGTGTGTCTGAAGGTGTGGGTGGATAACAGTGTGGCTGAAATATAAAATCCACACCCACACCCACACCCACACCCACACCCACACCCACATCCACACCCACACCCAGGTCTCCAAGAATCCGAGAAGTGGAAAACCATGCGAGAATCTATATGGAGCCTAAACAGTACAATCTGCCATCGTGTAGCTGTGCAACGTCGACAACATGTGTAGAAACAATGAATTTGAGGGTCAAGTCGGGATTACTGGAGGTAGTACCGGGAATGTTGTCTGGTTGCTTACCATTGGATTCGATGCTTCAGTCTACTTTAGAATGCTTGTACGACCAAGCATGTCTTGATAAAATAAGTGATGCATTTAATTCCTCTAAACCTTATATTCCATCACTCATTGCTAATCGTACTCGTTTTCATCCAATCAATATCACGAAATTTGACGATATTGTAAGAAATTTTTTCATTGAGAAGTGGTCTGAGAACGTTTCTTTTGAGGCATATTTCAGTGCTTGTCACACAGATAAATGTACATATATAATTTCTAAACGTTTCAATATTGGATATATCTCATATACAGTTATCGCTTTTTATGGTGGTCTTAGTGTTGGGCTCACCCTTACTATTCCTCTTCTCTTCAAAATTGGTCGCAAGTGTCTCTTACACCGAAACAATCGACGAGTGGTATCTGGCAACATTTCTTAACATGTAGACAGCTAAAAAATAATGTTGTCCTCGACTTTTAATGTAGTGACGTTTAATAAATGTACTGAATTGTATGAAATTCTTTATTTATCGCAAGACATATGCTTTCATTTTAACGAAAAATGATTTATAAGGCTCTTTCGGGTGTTTGTGAGATAAATACAATACTCACATCACATTCACCCACCCTCAAGATGTGAAGATTTCATTATAAGTTTTGTGGTGGAAATATAAGCTAGTGGCAGAATCACCAAAAATCCACTGGAGTTCAATCTTATATAAAATAAATTAGACAATTTACTTTAGATTATGTTCTTGAGAGTGTGGGTGAAACTATTGCATCTTTAATCCACATTCGTTCACTTATACTCTTACCTACACCCACACCCACCCCGTATATCTGATTTAACAAATGAAATCCGCCTAAATATGACAACTCAATAGTTTTTCTCTCCCAAATCGAACCCTGTGTTTTAATTACAATAAAAATATCAATCAATTTCAAAGAGAAATAAAATTTCATAAGCAATAACATGAATGATGCGACCAATTTATATTGATGTATAGAATAGTAATAGAATCTAAATAAGAGGTAGCAAATCACTTTTACTTTTTATCAGTAACTAAGTCATTTTTTAGTTACTTTGTTATATTTTACTTTAATTACCCAAGAGACAAATAAACTAAATATGTCACTTTCTAATATAAGAGCATTTCAAAAAACATGTTCCATTAGAATAAATTGAATTATTATGTGTTAATCAAGAAATGGCTATCTAGTAACTCGACTAATATGAAGTTAAGCATTTATCGAAATGACAAGTTTGTCAAAACTTTGTCGAAGAACAATTTTGCATTGATGATAGTATGTATGCATAAGAAAATATTCAAACATTATCCCACCTTACTATGTTCTACTTAAGTTTTCACTGCGTTCGACATATACTGTGAATAATGTTTTTTTTCGTACATTAATACTTTTTAAACTATTATTGCTGAATAGAATGGTGTAGATGTAGATCCGTTTGATCTCTTTAATAGGAGCTGTATATAATTTCAATGGAGATTTAAATTTTATTGAGTTTTCATGTAAATGATGTAAAATGTAGATGTGATGCTGTTTTGCCAAGGACGCCATTTATTAATGTTCTTCGGTTCTCTTCTCTTCTCTTATAAATATATATATATGTTGTGTCTATTTATACATGAACTTTTCTTATATTTCAAATGAAAAAAACATCTATATATATAGTAAAGAAGAAAGAGAAAGAAAAGTGGAATGCTATGAACGAGAGCATGTGTATACGTGCGACATTACTGGAACAATTATAACAATAGAGAATAGATAAATAAAGAAAATACAATAATTTATGTCGATCGCTTCGATACTACTAGTTTATACGTTATTGTCATACACACTATCTTGTGCATGACTGTTAAGTAACAAAAAAA